GATTTACAAAAAAGATTACCATTAAAAATTATATATCAAAACAAATTTAATTCATGCATTCAAAAAAGGAACACATTCAAGAAATTATAGGAAATCAAACATTAAGTACATTTTCGGGAAACTTTCTATACAAAAAGAAAAAACGAATTTTTAGAATATGCACTTACATAGACCCAATTACAAATATATACATATATTGCCACAGAGAAAATTATATCATATGAAATTATTGCAATATTTGCAAATTTTAATTGATATTTTGTTCCATTCTTTGCGTATGGTCTTACGATCCTGGATGTTTTTGGGAGCTCTCGAATGGATTTGAATTTTCAAATAACCATTCTCGATTTCGTTTAAATCTGGGGTCTTACGTGACCATTTTAGGATATTTACATTATTTTTACCCAGCCATTTCTTCGCAATTTTACAGTAAACTTAGGATCATCTTCGAAGATCCAATCAGGAGGAAATCCATGATTTTAAACAGAAATCCTTAAACTTGCTTCGAATTTTTTTCATATGCTGCGTAATTCATTGTACCATCTATTACAGATATGTTGGCAATACATTTTGCAGAAAAATATCTCAAGCCATGATACTGTCACCACCAAATTTCATTTTACTAACTAAAATCTGCAAATCATTAACTGAGAACTACAAGAAAGGTTAGTTGGTGGAGAATTGATAATGCTCATTCTACAAAGTATTAAACGAAGATTATTTTTTGTATTGTACTAATATTTTTCAACCATTAAAATGGATAAATGGGATTTATTATTATTAAAACATGTTTTTGTCGGTTTTCTATGCATATTAAGTTATTATGCATCTATGTACAGTTAATTATATGGAAAATATATTTATTCATAAGTTGGAAATATAGTAATTTAAAAAATGTGTATGTGTACGAATATTTGTTTCCACACACCGTGTATACATATATATATATATATATATATATATATATATATATATATATATATATATATATATATATAATCTGAATATAGGACACTGGTTATGCAATAAAAATTAACTTAGCAGCTAACTCTTTTATATAAAACTATCTACTAAAATCAAATAATACCATGCAACAAAGTCAGTCATTAAATGGACATATATCTTTTAAAATTTGCGATGAATTTCGGACGCCTTTTATCGTTGCTTAAGAGAGGATTTTCTATCTAAAGAAATCTGATCTAGTTCTCTGATAAAATGAACTTCTGAAAAATGTTTCATTAACTTATGCTATAACTGGAATTGATGGATGTCTCATAGAACGACGGTTATGGGTGATTCTAAAATCGGACATTATTTTCAGAACAAGCTAATAGTTCTACATTCATGTTCTATACCTCCTTTGAATTGACATTTGCTATTACAGTTTGCTGGAGTCTAACCAGAGAATTACTGCAGATATTTACTGTCAGCAACTGGAAGAAATACATATTGTGACGTCACCCTGGTCCTGCTCCCGTGCTATCCTGTGACGATCTAACCCTTGGCTGATTCGGATGGAAATCTGGTTAGATTCGGCATCAGCTTTGTCGTTCCCAGCTCGCCTCCAACGTCTGGTTACCGAAGTAACGGCTTTGATTTCTAGTCTAACCTACCCACGTTGTGATTTGATCTTAGGTAGACGAAATCAATCAGGTGTCGGGCCGTAGTGCAAGCTGAATCCGGGGCAAAGGTGATACCTCACAAGTATATGTAAATGAAAATAAAGTAACAACTCAAAAGATTCAAATGTGTAAAAAAAGAATAACAAGTATCTTTATATCTGGTTGCTGAATACAAGACTGCGTCTTTGTCCCAACCCGCTTCTTTGGATTCGTGACACATTGCGTTTCTTAGGGGAGTCTTAATATCTTAAGTTGTTTTTCAATAAACTGGTTTTTGGTATCTTCAGGCGATATTCGTAAAACTTGTTTTGGTGGTGTGAGTCTAATTGTTTTTGGTTAAAAGTCTAGGTCGGATTGCGTGGAAATCTTTCAGTCAGCTCCTGCGAGGCTGGTCTCCGAGCTCACAGGGCAACTGCAACTCAACTCTTTGACTCCAACTGTCGCCAACTGGACTTCTCCAACTATGTCTGTCTCTTTGCTCTGGGGATGTTCGTTTATATGGACGCCGACCAAAACCGGGTGGGGGCCTGTCGTGGTTTGGGTTTCTCGATAATTCCAAATCCGCAATAAGGATTTTCTTTGTTTTCGGACAGGAAAATTTAACACTTCCCATTTTTGGAAGTCAATTACTTTCTGTTTTAGAAGGGTTCTTAAGGGAATCGCCCTCTTAAATTCTTCCCTTCTCATATTAGTATCTCACACCAATCCCCTGAGTGGGCGTCAACAGTTTTCCCTTCTTTCTCATGTTTACCTTCGCCCATCGCTCACGCCACCATTCAGCCAATGAACGCTCGGTAATGTGGGTGTGGCTAGACTGGCCTCAGTTTATAATTATCGTTCAAAGAAAAAAAAATTATCTTCCTTTTTCTTTTCTTTCTTTTCCAACGACCAGAACCCCCACGAATCGTACTGTGGACATTAAATCTTTATCTTAACTTGATGTCATCTAGGATTCATTGACGGGATTTTCGCCGAGTTCTTATCTGGAATTTCTTTGTCTTCCTCGACATCATCGCATTCTGTCGACAACAGTCTGTCCAGGTAACAAACTTTTATCATAGCAAGTTCTGGACATACAACATGTGGCTCCCCTTCCAAAACCAAATGATATCTCCGAAAGATAGTTAATAGCTTATTCTCTTTCTTTTTCTCTTCTTTTTTCCTTTTTCTTTGCGGGGGTCTCACCTAATTCTTTCTCGGTCGCATGCTTGACCCATTTTTCGATTATCTTGTAGCATTCTGCTTTGTAAGCCTCTTGACCAAATTGAAATTTTCATTATTGCCATAGGCAGATTGCTATCTTTTATCCGCATTTTGCCGTTACTCGCCGCGTCATGGCATAAATTAATTCTGACAGATCCATGACAGATTCTTACGAATTTTCTATCTTCTGCGAAAAAAAAATACTTTTCTTCGCAAAGAAAAATAAAATCTTTACCCATTTTTCATTTGTTAAAAAAAAAAATATCGCTCAATATGTCTTTCGATTTAGCTTCTTCTCGCCTTAAGTATTTCTCGCTTTTAATTTCCATTCTTAATTAGTTAGCCAACAGCTAAATAGTGTCACAATATTCAGTTAAACAAAATGCGGCCGGAACTGTTTAATCGCCAAGGTCCAATTCTGCTTCATGACAATGCTCGGCCACATATTTGAAGACTACGCTAAAGAAGCTCATCGGCATGGGATACAACAGTGTCACATCCACCACATTCCCCTGATTTCTTGCCCATTGACTAAGGCTTCTTCAGTCATCTTAGCAATTCTTTTTTATCTAAAAGACATTACAAAGAAGTAGAAATTTCATTCAAACATTTCTTCTTGAACAAGCCATTAAAATATATATATAGAATGCATACATAAACCTATAAATCGGTAGCAGAAATATATATATATATATATATATATATATATATATATATATATATATATATATATATCAAATGTGTAGTGCAGTTCAATTCATATAACATGTATCATTCATACAAAAAGTAAGTTAGTAAAGTTAATGATACAAAAATGGCGAAAGCTCTTCGCAAACAAAATTTTAAAGTTGCATTAACATATGGATCATTAGATGAATGATATGATCCTTGTTTTTAATAACTACAAGTTCTATAAAGTCTTTTTTTTTTAATCTGCTAGTACTTCCAACTGTACATACAGTCATCCTCAGGTATGGAAATTATTTTGTTTTTAGTAAATCCAGGTAGTAACGGAGACGAAAAATTAAAAGCGAATCGAAATGTTTTTTTTTTTTAGAAATGTGTTAATGTTTACGGATAAAAAATTTTGGATCGTGAAGTATCACACTAATTTAATTGTTTTTCAAATTTAAGAGAGTACGTTTTTTACTACTATGGTAATTTGAGTTTTGTTTTTCTTTTTTTTATTGCGGTAGGAGTTTTTCAGTCAATGTGGCATGAACTAAATTGTTCAATAAATGGAGTAATGTCTCAGTTGTCATCCCGAAAATTTGCACGTCGGGTCAGTTCTTTTAAAACAAATATGTGGTGCAGTTCAATTTATATTACAATGAATCATTCATACAAAAAGTACATTAGCAAAGTTAATGATAGAAAATCGCGAAATCTCTTCGCAAACAAATTTTAATGTTGCATTAACCTACGAACCACTCGATGAATGTTATGATCCTTATTTTTAATAAATACAAGTCGTATAATGTCTTTTTCAGTGATTCATGCAATATATATATATATATATATATATATATATATATATATATATATATATATATATATATATATATATATATATATTTTTCGTTCGTATTTTGACTCATTTAATTCCCCGGAATAAAAGGTGATTCTAAAATCGGACATTATTTTCAGAACAAGCTTATAGGTCTACATTCATGTTCTATACCTTCTTCATCTCCCGTGTGAGAACATTGGTATTTTACGATTTATAATAATAATAATAATAATAATTATTATTATTATTATTATTATTGCACTTGTTGTTACTGTGGTAGTAATAGTCATGGTGGACTAGGCCCGGTACTAATCATCATAAATCTATTTTAATAGATAATCCTCATGCCCACAAGACTTGAGCGTTAGATAATTGAGTCAAAATTTGATTTCTAAGTCTGAAACCTACACATGTTGATGCATAATAAGATAGAGACTAAATAAAACGATAAGCCAGACGTTTTTGTATTCCCCAAAATGAAGTGATTTCACAAGAGACAATTTCTTTATAACGCCTTTGTAAACATTGCATTACATGCAGTTCTTCATATAGAAAAGAAAAAAAACACATAGTTGCGACGCCTGAACAAAGAAAACTTGAAAACTGTAGCCGACAGAAAATTGAGATTTTCCGCTTAATGATAATTCTTAGTTACACATAATAAGATGGCGAAGTCCGATCGATATAATGCTAGTAATTTTGTGAAAGATATTGCAATATTAAATCTCTATAACTCTCTCTGGGTTTCCGGCTCTTTCTATTTCTTTCTTTCTTTCTTTCTTTCTTTCTTTCTTTCTTTCTTTCTTTCTTTCTTCCGTACTTCTTTCCTTTTTAGGTTCTGGGTTTCTTCTGAAAATATTTTAATTTGTATTGTTCTTTCTTCTTCACACCTCTTCCTTATTTTGTTTCTTATTGCTTACTCTCTTTCATCATCCCCCGCCCCCTCATTCAAGCAGCATCGTTAATTACACTTTCGCTCTTCTTTAAGCTTTTCTTTTCGTCCTTCTTTTGTGTTCTTCTAATCTATCTATCTATCTATCTATCTATCTATCTATCTATCTATCTAAGAAGAATGTATTATTTGAAACGTAGGAATTTACAAATTATTTTCTCTATTCTCTTCATATGTTTCATCCAGTTTGTCTGATGACAAATGTGTGGATCTATCTATCTATCTATCTATCTATGAAGAATGTATTCTTTGAAACGTAGGAATTAACAAATTATTTTCTCTAGTCTCTTCATCTGTTTCATCCAGTCTGTCTGGTTACAAATGTGTGGATCTATCTATCTATCTATCTATCTATCTATCTATCTATCTATCTATCTATCTATCTATCTTTATCTCGCTGCTAAAAAGAGTTAAGTTTCCTTTGCATGGTGCAAGGTAGATAGCATCATCATATTATAATTCCGCTTGTACCTGCACCAGTTAATTAGTACGCTAGCACGTGCATTACATCCTTCCATTACCTCAGATAAATTATTAATTCAGACCATTATTTTTTTTTTTTTTTCATTGAGAATGGAAAAACTGAAGAAGAAATATATCAGAAAAGCTGTTCGGTTTTATTGAGAAAAAGATAACTCAAAAAGAAAGAAAGAAAGAAAGAAAGAAAGAAAGAAAGAAAGAAAGAAAGAAAGAAAGAAAGAATAAAAGGGAAAATAGAGGAGGAGATTACAGCCTTATTTCTTTAACATCTGCTTCAATGAAATGGAAAATATTTTCAGTTTTGGATCATTTTATTTGTACCCTCCTATATCTTTGAATAACGATCTGATATTCTTATTTGTTTATTATGGAAATATTTTGTTAAATGTTTTCAGCCCAAATATTTAACAAAATTTCCATATATATGTTATAGTCGGAAAATTCGCTGGGAATCTATTTAATTATTAATTTAAGAATGACGCTTCATCAGGAAACAGGGTAACTTTGAAATTATCTCGGTTATTACTGAAATGATTCTATTCTCTTTGGAATTGTATCTGAATTTTTTCTTTTTCATTTTTAATTTCTTTCTCCTCAATTTTTCTCTTTTTTAAAGAAATGACACCTTCCTTCATGCAAGCGATAACAAATTAGGTTGTTTTCATTTTCTTTCTCATTTTCATCTATCTATCTATCTATCTATCTCAGTCTATCTATCTATCTATCTATCTATCTATCTATCTATCTATCTATCTATCTATCTATCTATCTATCTCAGTCTATTCACATCCATCTAAGAAAACTGGCTTACCGGGGTGGGGTAGGAATTAAGTAATGATTTTCTCTATTCTCTTCATCTCCCTGTCTCATCCAGACTCTCTGAAAACATGTTTGCGTGTGTCTATCTATCTATCTATCTATCTATCTATCTATCTATCTATCTATCTATCTATCTATCTATCTTCTATTCATATCTATCTATTTATCTGCCTTAATGTCTATTTCTATTACAGAACGTCTCCTATATCAGTTACGTGGAGAATCTATCTATCTATCTATCTATCTATCTATCTATCTATCTATCTATCTATCTGCCTTACTTTCTATTACAAATGGTTTCCGTTATCATTTACATGGAGAATATATAATGCATATGTTTTTATTTTCTTTATGTGA